TGTCAGATTTATGTATTACAAATATCTTCTCCTTGTCTGTGGCTTGCCTTTTTAGTTTCTCAATGAAGTGCTTTTTGAAGTGCAGAAGTTTTAAATTTTGATGAAGTCTAATTTATTGATTTTTTTCATACACAGCTCACACTTTCTGTGTCTTATCTAAAAAATCTTTGTCTTCCTCATGGTCACAAAGATTTTCTCCTATGTTTTCTTCCAGAAGCTTTATAATTTTAGTTTTTATGTTTAGGTTTAAGACAGCTTTCTAGTTATATTTTGGGTGATTTTGGGGTCAGTCAAGATTCATTTTTTTCCCTCATGTGAATATCCAGTTGTTCTAGCACCCTTTGTTGAGGAGACTTTCCTTTCTCTACTGAATTACTTTGTCAAAAGTCAGCTGAGCACATATGAGCATCGCAATTTTTAATCCTATTAGAACTGAATGTTCCCAGGTCAGGTCGTGTCCATTACCCCAACCTCCTTTCCTTAAAGAGCCTACAAGACAGATTAAGCTGACGCTCAGGTGAAGGAACGATGTCTAATCCCTATTTTTGTACATAACACAGCGTATGATCTTTTCTGCCCTGATGGGTTACTTGCTTAACTTTACCACAAACTCATGAACACTCCGCTGTGTTTGTGACCGGAGCGGGGGGAGGCTTCCTGGATACTATCTCGGTCTCCTGCCGTCTGCGTGGAAGTCTATGGACTTCTGCTTCTGTTTGTTCCCCTGCACTGATATTATCAGCTTATAGCTTGAGATTCTCGAGAATGGAGGTCATATCTGAAATGTTATTTTGACTTGTGAGGCATCTATCTTAGTGCCCTGAGCAGGCGTGGAATTTACTAGCATTTGAAGTTACAGCAAATTCACCATCCCTCAGTTTCCTCATCTATATAGCACCAAGAGGATTCATCTCTATTTAGGTCAATTCCATTCAGAACTATGGGCTGTCCATGTAAAAAAAAGGCCATCTGATTTTGGGGAAGGAGATGTGACACTTTGACCAGGCTGATCTGGTTCTCTTGGAGACTATCAATGTATGACATCTGGAACACACTGTGGTCCTGTTTTGGTTATCGCTTATTGTTCAGATCAATATTGGTCTGAATATTCTTTAACAGAAATTAAAGGAACTCTTTTGTAACCGTCTACAATTCATGCCTGTAGACCTGGGCTATATCTCTATGTCCTGTCTAGTGGTGACTCCCCCACGCCCAGGAGCGTTCTGTGTCTTCTCCCTCTCTCTCAACGTTTCTCTACAGGTAAATCCTCATCTTAATGAACGCAGAGGGCAACCTTGATTGGAAAGTGAAGGGAAGAGATGTCATGAAATGGCAACACGTATCCGAGGTGAGATGAAGGATACGTGAATGTTGCTGACTGACAGCCAGACAAAGTGGCCCCCTGTTGCCATGGTGATGGAAGCGTGTTGACGCTAAGTGTAAGAGCAGCTCCCATGCTTTTTAATAGCAGCTGGTCAGTGCCATTGCCTTCCCTGAATTGCTGCCCCCCTGAGTCGCTGCTTGGCCCCAGCTGTCCTGATCTGTTGACAAATGGTTGTCCTTCACAGTCAAACCACTAACAGTACTCTAATTAATGAATGTGCTAATTATTCTTCCCTACTCCCAGCACATTTGTCTAAGTAACCTGTCACACACAGAGAAGTGCTGCACGTGCATAAGCACTGAGGGCTCCGAGGGCAGGGGTCTGGGAGGAGAGCCGGTGGGCTCACGGCCTTGAAGCTGTGGGATGGTTCCCGTTAAACTACCTTTACAAATGGTCAGGTGTCTGGGGAATATGGTATCTCCTGTGAAATGTGTATGTTTGCCTTTCTTTTCTTTTAAAAAATCTCTCTTTAGGAGCCGAGAGGTCATTGTTCATTTCACTAGCCTGTGAGGAGACTGCCAAACACAGATGCAGAAGGACCAGGGAGTCCCAAGTTCTGAAAGCTATTCCAAAAGCAGCATTCAGGGTGGTTAAAACCCAGCCTTGGAAGCTAGGCAGGCCTGGGTTAGAATGCTAGTTCTGCTCCTTTCTACAGTGTGTCCTTGGACACGTGGTTTAACCCCTGGAACCTCAGTTTCATCTTTGGGACAATGGGAGCAATAGATTGTCTATTAGAGGGCTGTGTCGAGGAGCAGATGGAAAGCTCTGGCACAGTGCCTGGCACAAGCTAAGTCCCCAGGACACAGCTGCTCAGTGCTTCGGGCCCTGGGCTTGCTCTGGTCTGGGTTTGGCTGGCAGGGCCGACTGCAGGGCTGCAGACCATCTCTTTAGGAACCCGGAATCCAGCGCAGGGCTGCTGCGCTCCCCTCCCCCGCTCCCCTGGCGCCCCTCGTCTTTTTGTTCTGTCTCAGCAGCTCTCTATTGAGATGAATGGCATTTCCAGAGGCTTCACCTCTGATAAGTGTTCCTCTGCAGCCGCAGCCAGAATCTTAATGTGCGCGCTGTAATTTAATGGCCGTCTCGGCTGACTATTAAAACGCTCTTCCCGGGTGAAGTGGACTCGCTCCACCGGCACGTGCGCCCCACCCTGGCGGGGCGACTGCGGGGAGCTCCGATGTGGGCGTCCCACCACCGGAGGAGGGGCGCAGTTGCCGAACCTCCTACCGGTGCCTTCCGGTCCTTCTAAAGGGGAAATGGCTGGGCATTTCCCCTCCTCCCCTCCCGCGTTTGTCGGGCTCCTGGAGGTTTGGGAAACGAGCAAGAGAGGCTGCCCCTTCCTGGTTTCCTGCGCTGCGAGGAGCTGGCAAGATCTCCAAAGGCGCGGTGGGCTGACCCTGTTGGATTCTTTTGATGCTGTTTTCTGTGTGCCCACAGATTGTGGCAGATACTTTCATACTGTAAACATAAACACCTGAACAGGAAGGAGATTAGGAAAAGCCTTAAAGACGTTAGGCTGTAGGACAGAGAAACTTCTTTAAAAATTGGACATTTTAACCTGGGATTATAAACAGCCAGCTTTGGTGGTTCCCAGTCAGGAAACCACACCACCCATCTGTCTGTCAGCTGTCCTGCTGTGGTCGCTGAGTGCTGCTGTGATGAGGAAAGCTGTGCCACGAGGATTTCAGCTACCAGCAGGTTCAGCCACGGGGGACAGGTTTTCAGCTGAGCTTCCAGACTAAGACAGACTAGAAAGAAGGACCTGGGCACCGACTTCTGAAAAAATTGGCCATGAAAACCCTGTGAACAGCAGCGGAGCACTGTCTGATACAGAGCCGCGAGGTGAGAGGCGGGAGCAAAAAGACTGGCCAGGGTTCTGCTCTGCTGTTCACAGGGTCGCTAGGAGTTGGAATTGACTTGATGGCACTAACAACAAAAATAAGTAGTGGACTGTCACAGCATGATAGTTGATATACCCAGCACTCTTGGCACCCCCAATCTTTCTTCTGGGAACCGTCTTCCTCAACCATATGAGAACTGTGGAAACTGCCAGGTTCTGTCATTTTCCTGCCGTCTGATTGTCCTAGAAATGGATATATGACCAGCCTGGACCAATGAGATTGTCCTAAAAGTTTATCGGGAGAAGTCAGTCCTTTACAGGTGACAGGAGCTGTGAGATGTAAAACTCCAGAATTGGAGGTGGCGTATTTTGCACTGTGTGGAGAAAAGTGGTCTGCAGAGAGTTCAAAGCTCATAAGTAAGAGAAAGTTGAGAAAGAGAGACTGAGAGCGAGAACTCCATCTGAGGGCTACATTTGAGGGAGAGAGAGAAAACCGCCTAGCTCCCGGGCCCAACCTCATCTTTGCTCTTTTCAACTTCTAGTTGTTCAGTTCCTTGGTTTCTTTGAGCCGATAAATTTCCCTTTCTGCCCAAGCGAGTCCTAGCTAAGTTTCTATTGTCTGCAGCTGGAGTACCTTTTAAGGTGACTGGCCTTCACTTCTGATGCATTGTTACTAAGATATCATGAGTATTAGAAGGGCTGTTTATGGATGCCAGACTCCTTGTCTACTGGGACCTAAGTGTTCCTGTCACTTACCAAACTTGTCCCCACAAATGAGATCTCATTAAGGTGAATACACAAATCTTGCTGATGCTGAGCCCTTAACCAATCTTGTCGTAACTCCACACTTTGCAGAGTGCTCCAGGGACTAAGAGAGTATCAAGAGTGTCGTGACCGGCCTGGACTGCCTTTGTTTCCGGCCTCTGCAAATCCAAGCTCCTCCATGGACCGATTTCTAAGCTGAACCGAGGACACTCGAGCTGGCCTCTGCCCCTCCTCTAAGATGTGAGGCTGGCTGTCTTCTCTGCATGCTGTCCTCTCCCACACTGAGATGCAGCTCCCCACTGCCACGAAATATAGTGGCCAACATTTTCTTTCAGAGTGAGATTTTGAGAAAAGCTCCTCTTACCACTGCCAAAGAGTTGTTCGTTTGGGATGAGGATGGCAAGAATCTTGTGTTTTCTATGTAACTTCCAAGGTGTTGCATTTACACGGAGAAAGCTGTCCTGTAGGATGCCAGGAGACCACCTACCCCCCTGGACCCCCAGCAGGTCCACTCCGACACCTTCTCTCTCCTCTTATGATGCTGAGAAGATTCCAGGGAAGGTTTCTCAACGAAGACCTCAGAGAATTGGCTGCGGTGTTTAACCAGCCATCCTGTTTGGAAGTTTTCCTTCGGGGTCATCTGCAGCTCCATTTCTGCCCCTTATCTAAATTCTTTGGTTTAGTTTTAATTCTCTTGTTGCCTTTTTCCTGTAGAAATGGAGCCAACAGCTTTCGCCCCTCATCATCATTCGTTCATTCATTCATCCAGGCTTTATTATCAGGCTGCTGCTCTGGACTCTGCCACGTGTAAAGTATTCATTTTTCTCCCCGGAAATTCAAGGAAAGAAAGATAGTACTCAGATACAGATCTTTTTGGTGCTCTACAAATAAAAAACAAGCTTAATTTTTTCTTCCTTTCCTGTTCCTGTCCCTAGCCCTGCTTCTCCTGGCAGGTTGTGCTGAAGGACCTTTGGTGGCTAGTTAAAAAAAAAAAGAAGAAGAAGGCGCACTGTGTAATTGTGCTGGGACCTTCGGAAATTCTAATGAAGAAAGAGAGAGTGCAGGCCCTCACTTCCCCTTCCTGCACAGTGCAGGCCTGGGGTGGCACGGAGCTGGAGCAGTCCTCACTGCGGGGAGCCTGGAGCGAACATGGATCAAGAAACCGTGGGCAATGTTGTCCTGCTGGCCATCGTCACCCTCATTAGCGTGATCCAGAATGGTAAGGGAAGCCCCTCACTCGGGGGGGAACACAGGGCAGATTTTATTTGCTGGTTGTTTGTAATTCAGGCTTACACAGTTCTCTGTGTGTGTATGCGTGCTCGCACGCACTTTTGCCTTATCTGTATGTGTTTCTTTTTATTTGACTGTCTAGGGTGTGTGCACTTCTGCATGAGTTTGGAATTTTCCCTCTCCTGGCCTTTCTTTCACTTGCGTGGTGATGACTAATTACCTTTGCAGAGCCAGGGCAGCAACCTGGAGGCTTTCCAGAGGCCCTCACTGAGGTGTCTGCAATCAGCATCTTTATTAATTATTGTGGCCAGAGATGGGGCGGAAGGCAAGAAGCCTTGGCAGGGAAGTGAGATCTATGTTCACTCAGACACTGGGCTTTACTGAGGGCAGCTGGGCTGACTTGAGTGCCACTGTGGTGACCTGTCACAGGGAGGCTGGAAAAAAAAGTGAATTTGGGGAGTTTGAGGGGGAAATCACCTTATCATTATTTTACCTCTGTATTGCTTTTTTTCTTTTGAATAAACATGTTCTTTGTAATACTTTCTTTTTTCTCTAGCACTGTATGCTTTTTGAAGCATTTTTCATATGCTTTATATACTTACATAAAGAGAGAGAGAGGGAAAATCTTCTTTGGGATTTGCATTTCCGTTAACCCAGCTGTCACTAAAAAAACCAAGCAAGGTAGCCACACCTAAAAAAAGCAGGACTGTGTAAAGTTCCTTAAAGTTCTGAGTTAGGACTGCCACAGACTCTTTTTATGTGTGTGTGTGAGGAAGATTGGCCTTGAGCTAACATCTTTGCCAATCCTCCTGTATTTTATGTGGGATGCTGCCACAGTATGTCTTGACAAACGGTGCTAGGTCCAAGGCCAGGATCTGAACCTTCGAACCCTGGGCCACTGGAGCAGAACACATGAACTTGACCACTATGCCACTGAGCCGGCCCCCACAGACTCTTTTTATAAGTCTCTCCAGTGGCTTTATATTTTGCAGTTTATTAAGACAGAGGAAAAAGGAGAGTAATTACTAAGGGCAGCTCTGGAACTTAATGGTAATTACTGAATATTTACACACTGTCACACTTTGGAAATTTGAGTATTTAATCAATTTGGAATATTCTGAATATTTTCCCCCAACTTGAAGGTGGACAGAGGCTGCTGGTTGGCTTCCCCTTGGCCTCCTCGTTCCAGAGAGGCCCAACTTTGCATACTTTGAGTAGGTTTCGTATATGGAACAACACTTCGCAGCTTGCTGACCCCAACATTTTCATACTGTATCACACACAATAGAATTGCGGCTCGGAGAGGGAACAAATGGATTCTTTGGGCTGCCATGTCCTCAAGCCACCGCTATTTTATGCAGGCACCAGGCCTGGGCTCCCTTGATGTTGTAAATTGGCAAGGGGTTCATTCATTCAACCTGCATATCCCTGCAGGGACCCCTCTCCGGGCCAGGCAGTGTCCCGGGCACATGGGGATACAGCAGTGACCAGGACAGCTATGGTCCAGGCCTCCCAGGAAAGGAAGGGGTAGTGGGAAAAGATGGGCAGGCGACGTCAGCAAGAAGCCTGCAACGACCCCTCGGTCCCTGTGGGGGTGGGCAATGATGGTTCAGCTCTGTGTAGGGCCTCCCTTCTGGCCCTCTCCTTGTACCCATCAATATAGCTGACCAGTGTCAGTAGACGGGACCCCAGTGCCCTCTCACCCACCTGTGCCGATGGGGCGAGCTCAGCTGGGAGGTTTGAGTTCTCCCTCTCTGATCAGAGCTGAGGGGGAAGCTGCAGGGTCTTGAAGTGGGAACAGTCTCTTCATCTCTCCCAGCTGAGACGCACCAGGGCCTGGCTCTGCTCTGTGGAGCGGGTGCTGGGCTTTTCCGCAGTGGCATAGCAAGCCCTGAGCGGACTTGAGGTGGATGGTGAGATTTCTAATTATTTTCAGCAGATGGGATTAAGTCTTAGTCTTTGGTGCGAGGTGGGGAGGAGAGATTATAGATGGGCAAATGTCTGAGTGTTACTAGCCACAATCGAAAGGCCTTGCCTTTTGCCAGGCCATTTCAGATAGATAATGACAGAACACAGCCGCCTCGCTAACGGTTCCACAAACTGATGGGATGGAGGTTTGCCGGTGGGGACAGACAAGCATGGACCAGCGCGGAACTACTGTTTTGGGCTGGAGACTTCTTCATGCTGGGTAGACAGATGCCTGGGGTGCATATTTAGCGGTGTCGACAGCATGGCCCCCACATCACAGCCTCTGTCCCTCCCCAGACCTCCATGAGCAGCTAGGACAACATGTGGGCAGAGTGACTTTACTCAGTGCTGTCCCCTGGTGCTTCGAGAAGGGACAGGCTGCTGCCCTTTTGAAGCTACAAAAGGAGCCCTTGCATACCCCCTCAGGGGCTCAGGATAAGCTGTGCTCCCCTCTGAGGCAGAGACCAGGCCTCCCGTGCGATACTGAGGTCACCATGTGAGGGCTTTTTGTTTGTAACAGTCAAATGTGTCCATGTAGAGGAACAAGAAAAATTCAAATTACTTAGGCGATAACATCGCTGCTTGTTTTCACCATGAGTTTTTAGGCCAACACAAAGGTCCAAATGTTATGTCCAGAGCCTCTCTTTGCAATGCTAATTAACCTGAGTGTTGAAACCATGGATCTACCTTATAGGGTTCAGAATATATGCAAAAACGGTGCTTTTCTCCCCCATCCCCCAAAGAGCATTCCAAACCTTTCCTGTTAGTTTTAAGAAATATTTGCATGTTGTTGCCAGGCACTGCACGCTTTCTCTTTGTCCCAAGACAAGGCGGAGCAGTCCGCACGTGTCCGTGCGGGTCTGGGGCTCTGTGCTCTCAGTATACTGTGCGAGCCTGCTTCCCCTGGAGAGGCCAGGGCCCCGCCCGCCTCGGGAACTTCCCCCTCTGCCTCTCAAACATTCTTTAGTCAACAAGATCTTTGAAATTGTGGCCGTCTCCCAGCTTGGTCCAGCAGAAGGCAGATTTGGAAATGCAGAACAAGGTTAAAATACATGGTTCCAGGAAACCTGGACCAGAACTGCCAACGCCTGGTTTCTCAGGGGGTGTAGATAGATGCATCTCATTTAGTCTTTGCACCCTATGAACTATATACTATTAATCCTATTTTACAGATAGGCAAAGTGGGGCTTAGAGAGGCTAGACCATTGGTTGAAGGTCCTAGAGCCAGTAGTGGTGAAACTGGCATTCAAACCTACTCTAAAGAGTAGGCGCTTACACTACATATATCACCTCAGATTCATTCAAGCGCTCACTACCCAAGTCGTTCTTTCCTGTACTGAGCTGAGATCTGCTCCCCTGTAACTTCTACCCAGCGGTCCTGTTTCTGTTCTCTGGAAAACCTTAGACTATGCCTGCTGCTTCTATTGTACAAAGTCAGCTGTAACATCCCTTCTTCAGGCATCTCATTTCTCAAACGACTTGGTTTCCAGAGTCCCCAGTCTTGGGTTCCCCCTGTCCATCTTGCCGTGTTCTTTCTAAGACGCAGGTAGGTGTTTTCTGTGCAGGGAAACTGTTCCTGAGATCCAGGCACCAATTCTATTAAAATAATCTAAGTATGAGTTATTCTTTAGAGGACTTGTATCACACTCCTGGCTCATAGTAACTTTGTGGTTAACTGAAATCTCAAGATCTTTTTGTGTGATCCTGAGAAAGTTATTTAACTTCTCTGACCCTCAGCTTCCTCAGCTGAGGAGTGGAGCTGTCAGTGACTTCCGTGTGAGGTGGATGAAGGTCTTGCGTGAGACCACACGGGTGACGCAGCCAGCAGCGCCCAGCACGTGGTGCATTCTCGTCTGTGGTAGATTCTGCAGGATGCATAGTGACAGTTTGCAGCCTTCTCTCTCTGTGTCTGTCTCTGGTTGGACCTGATGTCAGCAGCTAGCCGTGATGAGTGTGTTAGTCGTCTTTGCACGCATAGTGTCTGTAACACAGTCGAGGATAACAAGAGGTTGGGCTGTGAGTGGGGGGTGAGGAGTGCACAAGGGTAGCCCAACTCTTTCAAGTTTCGCTTAGAAGGAAGGAGAGGTGGAGCTGAGTAGAACACCGAGTAGGATGGGACTGAAGGAGGCTTGTTCTTGTTTGGTTTTAAGGGTAGGAAAGATCTGAGTGTATTTCTAGGGTACAGAGAAGGAGGAGAAAAAGACTGTCGGGTCAGGAAATGGGGAAAATACTGATGAAACAGAGAGCTGAAGAGAGTGGCAGGAACGGAGTCAGGGTCACAGGTAGAGGCCAACCTTTGGAAAAGAGGAAGGAGTTTGTGTTTCTGAGCAGGGAGAGGAAGAAGAAAGGCAGACTCAGAGAAGTACCGCCAAGCTGTGCTGCTGGTTGCAGAAATAACCTTTGACTTACTTAACATGCTCCCTGTTTACATGTTCAGAGGCAAGGGACATCACCTTGGGTTCTGGAAAGACAATGATCAGAGTTTTCTGTTATATTCTGTGGTAAGAAGAGACATTCAGAACGGACAGATGTGTGCTTAAATTCGGGGTAGCCGATGGAGCGAGCGGCAAGCTTCGATGTGACAGTGAGAGCAGAAAAACATCCTCAGGCCCACCTGGGTTTCAATCCCCAGCTTCACTGCTCCAACGGAGTGACTCAGAGAGGTTATTTTACATCACTGAGCCGCTGTGTCCCTGTCTGTAAGGTGGGGACAGTGCTGCTCTCTTCACTCTTGGGTTGGTGGCAGGCCCTATAAGAGAATGTGTGTTGAGTGCCTCCCGAAGTGACTGGAGGGTGGTAGACCCACTCATACAAGCCAGCCCTACAGCCGTGCCCCAGATGGGCACGCTTCTCCGAAAGGAAGGTACTTTTGCAAAAAAGAAAACCATGAGAGGCTTTTACTCATTTACACAATTGATAAGGCATCTTTTCACGTCTTTCTGAGGAGGCTAATATGAAGTTGATAAAAAGGGACCTTGTGAGTGGATCCCTGAAAATCACACTTTTCCCTTTTTCCCTCTTGAAACAGGAGTAAAGGAGTAAAATAGAAAGACCCTCATTCTCCACCCTCACTGTCCAAGCCATAGACAAACCCACCGGGTTCCGTCTCCTTGGTGTCTCTGACACCCCACAGCCCACAGCCTTCACCCTAATCAGCTCCCTCCTATCTTTTCCCTCTGCCCTGGGTCTCACCCCTCTAAACACTCACCACACTGAAGACAGAGTGGCTTTCTGATGATGCCATTCCTCAGCTTACGGCTGTCTATAACTCCTTGTTGCTCTCAAGATGGAAATAAATTCTGAATTTCTTAACATGGCTCTCAAGGTCACTGTCACGCTGCTAAACCCAGAGGGCACTTCTCAACCATCTTCAAGCCTTGGTTCCCTTGTTGTCTTCTCATTGAGGCTCACTGTGTCCCTCCCATCAAGCACTTCCAACAGCCTCTTATGCTCCACTTTCCCTTTTGTCCATAACTTGGCACTGTGTAATTTTAATTTATGTATTTTGTTTACTGTGTATGGTCTGTCTCCTCTTCTACCCTCGCCAGAACATAAGCTCCTCAGGCCAAGGCTCTTGGTGTGTTTTGTTCTTGGATGCAAGCTAAGTGTCTGGCACATGGCAAGTGGAAATAGATAAATGTCATTGAAAGAACAATTCACCACCTACCTCTTTGGCCTTGTTTGTAATTCTACAGGGTTCTACTCCCCCTTCTGCCCCCACCCACCCTGTAAGCTGGACATACTGAACTGCAGACAGTTCTTGCGCCTGGACTTTTGCGTATTCCATTCCACGAAAGTGAAGTCGTCTCCTCTGTTGTCCCCTGCCCCCTCCATGTGCTTGGCTAATTCCTACTTGCTCTTCAGAATAAGATATCACTTCTTCTAGGAATCCTTCTGTGACCAACACACTATTTCAGTTGCTTCCTTTGACCCTTGATAGCACTGTGTTCTCACCCAATCTCATCTTGGCAAGAATCACTGTAGTGTAATTTCTGATCTACTTGTTTGTCTACTTCCTTCAACTGTAAGATCTGAGAAAATGGGGACTATGTCTTGCTCACCATTGCATCACCAACACCAAATGCAGTAATTAGTAGGAAATAGCTGCTAAATAAACTTTTGACGTTTGATGGAGTACATTTAAGGCTGTTTGGAGGTCAAGTCAAGGAAACATTTAACATTCTAGTAAATGACAGGATAACAGGCTCATGAACACGCCCGTTGTAACCCAAATCCAAACGTTTCCGTCTGGCAGGGTTCTTCGCCCACAAGGTGGAACACGAAAGCAAGACTCAGAATGGGCGGAGCTTCCAGAGGACGGGAACACTTGCCTTTGAGCGGGTCTACACTGCCAAGTGAGTCCAAACCCTGACGCTGCTGGCTAACAGAGTGAGGGCATGGGCACAGGGGCCTCCCTGCTGGAGTGATGACCATCCTCAAGGCCACCTGTCCGTCTGGATAACCTCCAGAATACCAGGGGGTGGGGTTCTCTGGGAAGGTTGAACTTCACCTGGGAGGGCTTGTGGACACCCTTTATCATCTTAGTAAGAGCTAGTGTTACAAGAAAGGAAGTGAGGATATGGGAGGTGAGGGGAGGTAAGATCACCACAGCTCCCCCTGCTCCCGAAAGCCTCTGAACCGGTCCTTCAGTCATGGAATTGACCAATTTCCTGCGGGGTTCGCCCAGAGGTACCACCATGAAACCAGCATTACTCATCTGCTGGCTTCAGGAGCCACAAGGAGGACGTGCTGGCAGCAGCCTTCAACTCACTGCCCCTTCGCGTTCCTCTTGGTGAAAGACTGGAGGCGACGCCAGTAGGTTTCATAACACCGGGTCTCCTTGAGCAACCAGAACAAGAACGGAAAGAATGGGGAAATTATGCAACTGCGTCCCCCCTCTCATTCCTTACTTTTGAATAAAAACGCTGTTTGAAAGTACCTGAACAGCTTGTGAAGGAGATGGATGCTATTTGGGATGCAAATTCGAATGGATGTTAATCAAACACTCGTTTTTCCTCTATGCAGAATGCATTTAAATAGAGTGTTCATGCCAGTGGCCTGTCTGCCGGCTTCCCTGTGCCTGTGGCTAGAGGCCTGTCAGAAAGGTGGGCTTCAGCTGTGAGCTAGGGAGGGAGCTGGCCTTCGGTCTCTGCTCAGCGGTGTGCCCAGAGATCCTTTCAAAGGGAGAGTCACGGCCACATAAGAGCAGTACTTTTAGAACGGCAAGGACAGGACAAGCAGACTCAGGGATGAGGACTCACACTGCAGGGTCGGGGCTCTGTGCCCTGCTGGCTCTGTGGGAGCAGCTGAGAGGAAGGGGCCACGCTCAGGGGTACCATTGGCTTCCTGTAAGTTGAACTGACTTCAAGGGATCTCGACTGGACAGGGCTTCATCACCCTCACCACCATGCTTTGTCTTCAGTCCTTTTCCTCGTCTAGGTAGTTTTTATTTTTTCAATGAGGTGTGGGTATGGGGAAGATGTCTCCATTGCCACTTTTCGTCATCGGCCCCTTTTGTCCCGCAGCTTCTAAACTGCTGCATACTTGGTCCGAACAACTCTCGGATGCATTGCAGGATCATCACAGGCTAATTTCCTGGTCTCCTTACCCTCTCTGGGACCGTTGCCTTTTGGGCTCAGTGCTTCAGGCTGCCCTTGGGTCCTCACGGCCCCCAGGGCGCCCCATGCAGACCCCTTTCTCTAGAGCCCACCCCGCCTGCTCTGGGTCCCGCTCCCTTATGCCGAGCGCTCCTGTGCAGGGTTATTCCGGCAGTCTGATTTCAAGGAATCCTTTCCTGAACTACCCACAGGGAGATTTCTATTTTAACATTTGAGCCTTCAGTGTATGAGTTCTCAGAATCAACTGAAGAAGTTTAAAGATGTGATTTAAGGTATTTTAGATCCATTTAAAGGAGGGTAGAGAAAGTGGGAAAGACACATGGGCTTGTCTTTCCTATGAGAGGAAGAGCATGTAAGGTGCTATCAACCTCTGGTGACATCTGAGGGGAACATACGAGAGCTCTCTGGAGACCCACCTGTGTGCAAGAGGTGCAAGAAGGCATCTTTGATTAGGGCAACATCAACACCTCTCTGAAAATGGAATCCAAAGAAAACATTAATACTCTTCTACCAATTTGGAAAGAGAAGCTTATTCCCCCCAGATCACCGCCTTCTCACCAGTTCCACCTTGTTCTTAGGAACTCCCCAGCTTGTCCATTTTGGAGAAGTTGGGCAGGGCGGCCGTGCGGTGGAATTTCACTGTCCCTGCGAGAAGTTAGGTTTCCATTTTGCCAGCAATGAAGAGGAAACAGAGCAGGCCAGGCCGTCTAGTTTCTGCCATTTCTCCCACGGGTGAACTGGCTGGCTTCTATGAAGCCGCCGTGCCTGACCTGGCCCCCCCGCAGCCTCCGGATTGCAGAAGCGCCGTTTGGTGGCGGTTGCGCTGCATCACTTGGAAGGGTGGTTTGGAAGGTCTGCAATGCTGTGGGGTTCCTGAGGTAAGAAGGAGCTACAGCAGAGTGGTGGGTGATTGGTGCTACCCAGAGGTCCCCACCCCCCCCCCGGGTGCTGCAGCCCGGCTCCCAAAACCCACATGTCTTTCCCACCTAACCCCCATGAGAGAGGAAGGAGAAGAATGAGGGGAGGAGAGTGAGTTGTGGAGAGGTAGGAACTAGGTGGGGGGAGAGGAGAATTTTCTGTAAGATAAGGTTGTCCCGACGCTGCTGTGGTTCTGTTACAAAGACCACTTCCTTCCTGACGCAGCCTATGGGGCTGCAGATGCCCCTGTGGCAGGTGGTAAAGGGGCTGCTCAGATCAAGGCGGCAGCTCAGTGCACGCTGCCCAAAGCCACAGGCCCCAGTCTGGTTGCCTCTGCCAGGAAGCTGCTGGGGGTCGGGGGGATGGGCACAGTGTTCATCTAGTAGAAGTAGGTCCCCAGCAATAGCTTCACCAGGGGCCTCCGAAAGCACCAAAGAGGGGTGCAAGATGAGCTGTGGAGGGGCAAGAAGAAAAGAACATGTATTTAATCTTGCTGTCTAAAGAATAAGAAATTAAGCTTTACTTGTTTTTAATATACAGGTCAAGAGTTGTGTGTGTAGATAATATATACATAGACATACCTGTCATGGGGTTGCGTAATCAAAACTCTTGGTTGATAGGGTGTGGGATCATAAATGTTTAGAGACTGTGGCCATAAAGGAAAACTAGCATAAAGGATAAATGACGCTGGTGGATTGAAAAGCCTGATGCAGATTTTTCAGCATAAATTATGACTGTTGACTGAAACAGACAATTCAAGATATTGGGGGTGGTTGATAAACAGACATCCCAGCCAGGTGTGGCCATCAGCTGAGACTTGGGCTTGGTTAATGGTCTGCCCCACCCCCCATCTCCCACTAGGGCAGAGCTGAGTCAGGGTTTGAGAGATAAAAGGGATCTCGACCTCGACTCTCTGTTCATGTGTATAAAACGCAGTTCAAAGCCCCGTTCCCAGCTGGTGAGCGTGGCTAGAGCAGTCAAAGTTTGACTTTTGGAGAAAAATCCTGGTTAGCTGACCCAAGATTCTTCCCCATGAGTGCAGGTAAACGCAGGTTACAGAGTGATGGGTCTCTGGAGATGTGTAATTTTCTCAAATGTGTCCTGTAGATTGCAAGTTCGTGGGCTGTTAACAAGTGTCACAGGGAAGAACAAATTCTGTACAGCAAGACTTGAGAACCTTTAATCTACCAAGGGACACTGTCATTCTTGGTTCTCCAAGAAGGGAAAGTCTTGTTTAACTAAAGATCCCTCCACTTTTTTTTTGCAGAGCATATCAAGGGCTTAGTGTTTCACAAAATGCATTTTGGGAAACGCCACCCTGATGTCCCTTCTCCCCTGCACCTCTCAGAATCCATTCTGGACTCAGTTCCAAGTAGCAGGGACTTGTCAAATTATTTGAAAGTGATAGAGCTACATTGATTCTATTGATTAGTATTGACACTATTGCTATTATTACTGATATTTACTTATTTTAAATAAACCCAAACTAACTAATGAAACATTAATTTAAGTGCCTCTATATCTTATTCGCAAAGGTGGAGAAAGCAAAAATAGCAACGAGTCCTTTTCTCCATAAAAATGTTGATAGCGTGGTGCATCAAAGTAGGGTAGCACAGGGATTTGTTGCGAGACCTGGGGAGTAGCTCATAGTCAGACCTCAAGGAATGAGAACCAAAATGGGTTTATCGGTTTTGTTTTACAGAAAAAATGACACAAAACTCCCCATAAAAGAAAATTTGGAATAATAATAATTTGTCAGGACACTGGTTAACATTTGTAAATATACTGTCGATATGTGGCCTTATACAGTACATCAGACCCTCGACTCTTAGAGCTTAAGTGGATCTTAGTTGTTAATGATCAGTCTCTTAGTTTTACAGGTAAGGAAACTAAATCCAGAGAGATTGTTTTGCCAACGACAAATAGCTGGTTAAGGTCAGGTCTCAGGGGTGAAGTCCTGGTCCTGTACCCTTTCCCTTCTTCTATTGCATTTCCCCAAATCCTTGCATGCCTCCATGTTTCATGTTGTTTCTCCATGGATGTGCTTATTGCTTGTCCTGATCTAGACTGATAACTCCTCAAGAGGACACTCGCTATTTAGTTTAGTATAGTCGAAGAAGTAACAGACCTGGTTTTAGAGTTAGACTGACCAGCGTGTGAATCCCGGCTTTCTACTCCAAAGCTGGGTGACCCTGGCAAAGTTATTCAACTTCTCCAAACCTCAGTTTCTTGTTTGAGACATGAGAGTAATTGTGGTAGGCAGACTAATGACCCCTGCAAAGATGTTCACATCCGAGTCCCCGGAACCCAAGAATAGATTATGCTTCATGGCAAGGGGGAATTGAGGTTGCTAACCAGTTGACTTTAAGATGAAGAGATTATCCTGGATTATCTGGCTAGAAACCAATGTAACCACAAGGGTCATTTAAATGTGGAAGAAGGAGGCAGAAGAGTTGGTGTCAAAGCGATTCAATATATGAAAGACTTGATTGGCCATTACTGGCTTTGAGGTTGGAAGGGGGTCACGAGCCGAGGAATGCAGGTGATCTCTAGAAGTTGGGAAAGGCAAGAAAATGGATTCTTCCCTGGTGTCTGCAGAAGGAATGAAGGCATGCTGACACCTTGATGTTAACCCAACGAGACCCATTTCAGACTTCGAACTCCAGATAACAAATTTGTCTTGTTTTAACGACTGAGTCTGTGGCTACTTGTTACAGCAGCCACAGGAAACTCACACAGCCACCATGTGCACCCTCAAGACCGCAGTGAGTTTCAAGGAGACGAAAGAGTACCACAGCAGCATGGGGCCAGGTGTAGACTGAGAACCACTCCACCACACGCAGCCATGACTACTAGCAAGATAACTTTCGGAGTATCAGCTTTTCTAAATCAACCCTGCTTTCTTTACTGCTTGGATCTCACTCTTCCTTCCTCAGCCTGGTCTGCGTGTCTGAGCTGACCTGTGTGTCTGACACAGAGGTTTCCTTCGTTGAGCTCTTCCCCCCTGCCACCCCTACCCGGGCTGCCACCACAACCCTGGTGTCTGCGTTGCTTGCTTTTCAATTCCAAGAGGCACTCTGGCACAGCCAGGAGCAGGAACCTTGCCAGAGCAAATCCATCAGGAAAGCAAGTCTCCGACAGGCTTCACAGAGGAAAAGAGTAAATGGATTCTGAACGTGTGTTGGCTGTGCACCACTGTCTGTTTCTGACGTGGCGGCTGGCTGCCACATCTTACAGGGTGGATGTAAGTGGAGTTATGAATGAGGTTCATGCTCCATGTGCCATGGTGATTATCAGCTTGGGGTTTCAGGTATTTTTCAGACTACATTGTGGTAACATGTCTTCTGATTTTTCTTCTCCTTATTTATTTATTCTGTAGCCAAAACTGTGTAGACGCGTATCCCACTTTCCTTGTCATGCTCTGGAGCGCCGGGCTACTCTGCAGCCAAGGTAACTCAGCCTTCTCTTTGTGTGTTTCTTTCTGAAACATGCATCCTGAGGAGGGAGGTTCGAGCGCAGGCTTTTTGTTGAAAAGACTTTGCCTGACCTCCAGCTCGGATCCGGGAAGCTCCGGAGAGGTGAGAATCCCGGGGAGGTCGCGTTTCAGGCACGCTTTGTGCCCGCGCAGAGCGGGTGCGATAATGCATTGCTAATGCTTGCTCCCCGGCGGCTGGTTGAGGGCGGCTGCACTGACAGGGTGGTTTAAAGCTAAATGTGACTCAGAATCCTTAAGCAGTGTTAGCTCAGATACAAGGGCATTATAAATGAGAGTGCCTGAGGGATCTATTCTGGGACTACTGTCACTTGGCTCTTCTGCTAATAAGCTTCTGGCGTGACAGTCCTCCTCTGAGCTGTGTCCGCAGAGCCACAGGCTGGTCTCCAGGTCTGAGGGTTATCAGCAACCCACAGTCTTGACTTGAGCAAGTTGATTCCCAGAGTTGATTAAAACGTAAATGGAAACCAGAATCATTTTTTTTGGTCCCCTTTGGAGATTGGCACTATGTCTGGTGGAGACCTGGCATGACCTGGCCAGCTTCCACACTGAGATCCAGCAGGGCGCGTAAGAAAAGGCCACCAGTGGCCTCTGATGAACCATTTAATCCCATCATCTTCTCCCACTTTATAAAGCAGGTAGAGTGGATAGTACTCCCCTCTGTTGTCCTTGAGGACACTTCGGTTCAGGGAGGTCAAGTAACGTGTTCAAGGTTGCTCGACGTGAATAACAGAGCCAGGATGAGAGCCCAGGTCTTTTGGGCTACATCCTGTATTTTTCACAAATATCCTTTTACCTTACTCATCTATATAATATATATACATTGTACACCTACTATGTGACAAGCCCTGCGCTTGGATACACAGTGGTAACTAAAAAGAGATGGTGGTGAGCACACAGCAGTTGGCGAGATGAACCACAGAAAACAAGTGAATGGATAAATTCGTGCCATGAGTGAGCAGTGCCATGAGGAAAAGAATAAAGTTCAGTGACAGAGAACAGAGGTGAGGGATGGCAGCAGAAACCACCTCAGGGACACCACTCGGCCTCCTTCTGTGCTCCATAAGGCTGTCAGTAAGCTCACTATTTATTTTCCACTTTCTATCCTGAGCTAAATAAGAAACGTGTCTGGCGTTACTTGAAAAATCAAGTCAAACCATGCTCGTGCTAGGAGTTATTCCTTCCATGTCGGAGATGATACTTGATGCAGACGAATCTAGAGTTATTCCAGCTAGATAAACACAAAGGGAGTTTGAAGGTGTTTCAGAAATGTGCATTTCCTGCCCAAACAAGTGTTGTCATTGCCCGGGGACAAACGTTTCGGTAAACCCAGTTTGATAATCCTCATTTCTTAGGAATATCATAGATTGTAGAATGTTTTTGGCTGAAAGGGACCTTGGAGATCATTCTAGCCCCAACCCTTCGCTTTACAGAGCAGGAGCCCAAGCCCTAGACGGCCTAGTGGCTTGCTCACACTTCAGAATTTTAGAGCCCAGATTTGAACCCATGACGCCCCTCCTGGTGTTCCAAGCAGCCCAAGTCCACACGAGAGGCACACACTGTTCCCTGGGTGAGGGCTACAAGCATAGCACGTTCCAGCCCTGATTTCTACTAGCTCGTGTTCAACCTAGTTCTCACTGAAACAGGGATGGGCCGGTAAGTTAGAGCAGAGACACAAACCAGAAAAAACTGTGTCCAAGGTGAATTGTGACGATTTTGTAGACTTTCAGAGAATAGGATGAACCTCACAGCAATGTCTTTTGTGCTTCGCTTTTCTTATCTGCCTCTTGATAGTAGTATTTTGGGAGGCAAGGGCTTGTGGAAAAAATATGGGCCTTAGGGGCCGGCCCCGTGGCCGAGTGGTGAAGTTCTTGTGCTCCACTTCGGTGGCCCAGGGTTTTGTCAGTTCGGATCCTGGGGGTGGACATGCCAGTGCACATTAGGCCACGCTGAGGTGGCGTCGAAGGACCTTCAACTAGGATATACAACTATGTACTGGGGGGCTTCAGGGAAAAGAAAGAAAAAGGAGAAGGTTGGCAACAGATGTTAGCTCCAGTGCCAGTCTTTAAGAAAACAAGACAAAATAAAACATGGGTCTTGGGGACTGACGAGTGGAGGCCATTCTGGGGACACTCATTGCTGGATTAAGTGAGATAATGTGCGTCAAGCCCCTGACACTTGGCATATGTTGGATTAAACCACGTAAAACTGCCAATACTCACAAAAATGGCACTTTCATATGTAGTTCAACCTAAGGATAGAAGTCCAGTAAATGTTATTGTTGATGGTATGGGTGGTGGTGATAACATTTTGAAATCAGACAGACCTGGTTTCAAATTCTCTCTTCCTTGGCCCACCTGTCTGACCTTTATTTATTTATTCATTTAACAAGTATTTTTTGAAAGTGAATATTTTCCAGGCACTGTGCCAGGCACAGAGATGATTACCCAGAGAACACAGCTGTCCTCACGGGTCTTTTGGTCTGGTGGGGGACTTTGGGCAAACACACTTCCTTGGGCCTAATTTCCTCACCTGTCAAATGGTGACAAAAATGTGCTCCTTACCAGATGGCTGGGAGGACAGGAGACCCAAGTTGCCAAAGTGCCTGAGGCAGTACCTGGCGTAGAAAGTGCTCAGTCCACGCAGTTAATTTGGTATTTGAATAATGCCAGGAGGTTATCAAGGCACTTTTATGCCTGTGCCCCTATTTCCCCCGCACAGTAATTCCTGAGAGGCAGGAAAGCTGCAGTCAGTCCTTTGGGACGAAGTTAAGTATTAGCTCAAGGCCGTCGTAGTCCTGGGGGAACAGGGTTCTCTAACTCTCCGCTCCAAGCCTTCAGGGCTCCGTAGGGTTATTTGGGGGCTGCTTGTGGCTGTTCCTCGCAGGGCTATAATCCAGAGGGAATCTCCTTCCCAGAAGCCTTTTCTGAGTGGTAGCAATTGTCCAGAAAAGGTTAAGCATTGCACTGCGTGGGGGCTCACAGGTGAAGGGGATACTTTTAAGAAAACCGGCTTTAGAGCTGGGCTCCGGGTTCAAGTCCCGCTCCCACTCCTCACCCCCACACTCACAGCTGACAGTCTTACACAAGCCCGCTGCCCAATCGAGCCCAAGTTTCCACGGGCTGCCGGGTCTCTGTCTGGAAATAGAAAAGATGATCTGGGTCATGTGGAAGGGGTTCTAATTAGATGATGGATGTGAAACACTTTGTCGACTATACCACAATACAGGTAACATTACCGTTATTCAAGTTCTCAGGTTTCTTCCAGCCCTAGGCTTTCTGCTGCTCTTCACATCAGCCCGGACTGTCAGAACAGGAGGCCTCTGCTCAATTTTGTGACCAACATTAGTTGCATAACGACTGTATGAATGTTGCATTCACTTGGCGTGTTTTGGCGTCTGTGAAACTGACATGGGCATTTTCCTTTCTCCGCTTAGTTCCTGCCGCCTTTGCTGGGCTGATGTACCTGTTCGTGAGGCAGAAGTACTTCGTGGGCTATCTGGGAGAGAGAAGGCAGAGGTAGGCCGCTGGGACTGTTTAAGAACCATGGAATGAGTCATGCTTTTTGAGCAGGAAGCGTGATAATTCACAACAATAGACTGCCTAGCATTTAAGGCTCTGGGGGACCACTTGGAGTGGGAGGGTGAAGGTTGAAGGTTGACGAGGCTCCCACATCCTTTTCTCCTTGCACTTTGCAGCTTGCACTCTGAAAATAGAGCTGGGGGACTTCACTAGTTTTCCCATTAAAAAATTCCTCCCCACAGCGTTGGGCCCACAAAGGATGCTTTAACACCCCGCACTGCGCATTCCTTGCAACTCCACACCCTCTACTCCCACCCTTCAGAGTCTGGGGCTTGAATGACTTTCTATGTCGGGCTTCTCCAGGCCTCCGGTGAGTGAAACATTTCATTGTTTGCCCAGAGAAATGAGAACTAAAGCTTGCACCTTGTGATAAGTCCTCTTGAGTAACAGATCTTCTGGGGACCGGCAGAAAGAATGTTGAGAAAACAAGATGCAATAACACGCAATGGATGGAGACTGTGAATAGAGTGACTGTTGCATTGCTTCTACTTGTTGCCAGACAGAAAGCCCCAAAGCAGCAATTATACTTTCATTACACCTGGATTGAGAAATCTGGATTTTAGCAAAATAAATGATACTTACAGAAGAAATGTTCAAGTTATAGTACACCACCAGTTCCTTAGAGATTAGAATTCTTAATGTACCAGAAGGGCTCCGAGAGCTGGGAACAGGTTCCGGGAGGCTGCCGCCCATACGCTGACCCCAGCCTTCCCCACCATTTTTCTTCCTTGTCTAGTTTCACATCCCTCTCTGTCTTTTACAATAGCATCCTCTCTATTGGTTAATGGGCTCTCCATTTAGATAGCATCCTTCAGCAGTGACAAAGGCAGTGACATCCCAGGAGGTTGACGGGTGAAAGCACTGCATCTGGAGAACCTGGGGGCCTGGGAAGCTAAATGACTTATGGTGGTTCAATGGAGGGCTGCGGCCAGGAGAAGAATGACTCTTCTCACAGCAATTCTTCCCCTGTGCTCATCTCTTCTTCACTCCTCTCTGGTGGTGTTCTTATTTATCCTCCAAAACCACAATTCCATTACCTCTCTCATCCTTATCACCACTCTCCTAATGATATTCTTTATTCTCTTTTACCCTGGAAGACCTCTATTCTGCCCTTCCCCGGGGAATTGCCTGTTGTCGAGAGTTGAGGGGGGCGGAGTGTCTGTCCATGAAATAAGGGAGTTCTGTTCCCTTGGGTTGGCTCCCTGTGCAGCCCCGTCTTCCTCCCCCAAAGTCTCAGGGATTCGGCCCAGCCACTGTTCTTCTCTTCATCTGTCACCACTTGCCTGAGATCTCACAATTGCTTTAATTCCAAGACGATCTGCAGGGCATGACAAAGCTTGTCCGTTTATCCACAGGCTCTGTTCATTTTAAAGATAATCACTACTAGAGAATGAACAGAGGTGGCAAAAATAAACAATAGGATATAGACTTAAAATCTTAAAAATATCACATTTCTCTGAACCTCATTGACATGTCAATGGCCTAACCTCTTAAATCCCTCCCTGGGCTCCCCCATGAGATGTAGTAAGAAGTCCCATGAGCCCCTTTACCCACTACCTGTGCTTGTTCCAGATGCTGCTCACCTCTCCTGCATCCACGGCCTTCAGTACTGTTCAGTCGTGGTGCTCTTTCCTGCCGAGACCAAATGCAGCCTCACAATACTTCGCACAGAGTTCTGCGCAGCTGTCCTCCATAGAAATGATACCTGCTAGACGAAATGGCCAATCCTGATCTAGACCAAGACATGGCCCGGGGTAGAGGCGAGCCCAGGGGCTCTGCGGCTAGGTCCAGGGCATTTTCAGCTCTGCCTTTGGAAACTACTTGCTAATACCCTCTTCCGTTGTGAACTCCCCTCTTTTGCGTGTCCCCCCTTTGTCCCTGGGCTGTGTCACAGTTGGATTCTGCCGACGCCTTGGTGCCCTAATGCCCAGGGATCTGCTTTAGTCCTTGGCCTCACCAACTGAGGAAGATACTGCTCGGTGAGATCTTCCCCAGGAATTTCTCCCTTGGGCTCAAGATCATCTTTGCTCCTCCCCAGAAGTTGCTTTAGCCCTGTCCATTCAGAAGTTCCCGGGTCATTTTTGGTCCAGAGGGTAGGTAGCACATCCCTTGATGTATCCCCCCTTCTGAAGCTGGAAAATAGGTTAATAATACCTCTCAGAATGGTTTTGAGAATTAAATGAAGTCACAGATATAAAACGCCTGGTCCCTACAGATGCTTAATAGTTTAATTCTGACCTTCCCTATCCTATTTAGAGAGAACTATGTTCAACTTTTGGAAACAATAAGAGAGAAGTCTTGATTCTCAAAGTCTAATTAGGCCCTGTGTGCACTGTCCAGGTCCCTCGCTCTTCCCTCTGGGCTCTCCCTCCTTTCAGGTTCTCTGTGGCTTTGCCTGAGCCTGGGGCAGGGCCTGTATCCGTGCCCACCGTGCCCACCTCCCAGGGCCATAGCCCATCTCCAAGCTCAAGAGACTTACAGATGCATCTAATGAAGTGCCCAGGCTGGGGCCCCCGTGCACACTTAGCCCTGCACGTGTGCTGAGTGACAGGCATGTGCTGAGTTCTTGCCTCCCACGCCCTTTGCACCACCTGGAAAGAGCTAAAGCACCGTAGACCCATCTCCTTTTGGGGCGACGTGCCTTGAGTCCTTTGGAAAATCCTGCCCAAATTCAAGAATACCACTGTTTCCTCAGTAGGCACTGCCATTTCATTCTTCACTGCAGATTTATCTTGAGCACGTTCTGAAACACTTCACAGATCGCTTTTTCTTGTTTCTGTAATGAGCATATGGTGACCTCATTCATGTGATAAATCTGAGCCACCACAATATTTGACTTTTCACAATTTAATTTCTCTGAACCTTCTATTCTCTGACTGAAAAATAGACTCCTTTCTTTTCACTTCCTTACCAGCATTAGCAGGTAACTCTCTGTATGAGTCTGTAGGGCCACCATAACAAAGTGCCACACGCTGGTGGGCTTAAACAACAGACATTTATTGTCTCAGTTCTGGAGGCTGGAAGTTCAAGAGCAAGGTGCCCGCAGCCTTGGTTCCTTCTGAGGCCTCCCTCCTTGGTTCGTAGGTGGCCGTCTTCTCCCTGTGTCTTCACACGGTCTTCCCTCTGTGCGTCATCTGTGTCCAAACCTTCTCTTCCTATAGGAACAACAGTCATATTGAGAAGGGTCCACCCTAGTGACCTCATTTTACCTTATTACTTCTTTAAAGACCCCATCTCCAAATACAGTCACATTCAGAGGGACTGAGGTTGAGAGCTTCAACATATGAATTGGAGGGGACACAGTTCAGCCCGTAACACTCTCTTTGGGGACCACCTTTTTTTTCCCCCACTAAAGAGAGAGAATGTCTCACTTCATGAGCATGACTGAGAACAGGAAACTGAGGAGAGAAGGACACGGCTGGCCAAGGAACAGGGGCGGCGTGAGCCAGCAGTGCTTCTCAAACTTTGGTGTGCCCGCGAGTCTTGGAGGGAGCTTGTCAAAATGCAGATTCTGATCCGGTAGATACAGGCAGGCACCTGAGATCCTGCGATACTGACAAGCTCCTAGGGTATGCCCATGCTGCTGGTCCACGGACCACACTTAGAGTAGCAAGGAGGTTGATACTCAACTGCTGAATGACTTCCAAACTCTTGACATGGGAAAATTATGACTTACATTGTGAACCTTTGGGGTCCCTTTCAGAAAGATAAAATTTCTAACGTTAAACCTGTGGATGCCAGATTCTGCTCTCCCTGATTTTGACAAGAGATAGGCTCAGCAGCGTTAACTCACCTGTTTAGTGGAACTGGTTATTCTTGAGCAATCCTGATTGTCAAAGCATCCTCCTGCTGGGCTCTTTACTGACAGCCTTAACGAGTCATTTGACTGGACTTTCCAAACATGTGAGTGCCGCACACACAGACCCAGCCACCACAGTCACAGAAGGATTCTGCGGAGTAGGAAGGAAGCCAGGGTAGCCACCAAGCACAATTAGGTGGTCACAGATCACTGGGGACATGCCTCCTGACCACAGCTGATGACCTGCCGAAGCAGCTTAAGATTTAGAGCCCTTGAGAGGATATGAGTGTGCTAACAAGTCTCTGTCCCTCCGTTCACTTAAAATGTATGGGCCTGTCCTCCAGTGCTGGGGCCCGGCTCTCGTTAGACTGAGCGCGAGTTATTCTCAGGCAGCCCCAGGAGACAGATTGAGCCCCCAAAGGCCAAAGCACCTTTTAGATTCCACCACCCTTGTTGGCTCATGTAAACCATCACTTCTCTCATAGAGGCACTTAAAGTCCTGCGTTATACACACAGCTGCCAACACGGCTCTTACAGAGGCTCCTGGAGAGGAGCAGCCGCGGACAGGGTCTTAATGAGTTGATGGGGTTCCTAACCCCCAGTCCGAATGCCCGATGACCAACAGAAGGGGCCACCTTCACGCCATCAAGGAGCAGAGTTCAGCAGGAAGTCAGGAGCACACGGAGAAGCCGCACAGCACAGCCCTAACGAGGACGGGCTCTGAGGCCCGGCTCTTTTAGCTTGGTGTTGAAATATGTTCAATGACTAATAATAGCCAAGACACTTCCATCCTTCATATGAAGTAAATGGAGCTTTCTTGAGTTAGAGAGCTATAATTTAAACCCCATGTCTCTCAAAGTGATAACATTTTTTGTTAAATTGGTGTCATTTGTGCTGCTTCTACAGTTTTCTCCTTCCTTCTTTTCTAGCACACCCGGCTACATATTTGGGAAACGCATCATACTGTTCCTGTTCCTCATGTCCCTTGCTGGAATATTCAACTATTATCTCATCCTCTTTTTCGGAAGTGACTTTGAAAACTACATAAAGACGATAACCACCACCATCTCCCCTCTACTTCTCATTCCCTAACTCTCTGCTGAATACAGGGTTGGTGCTCTCATCTAATCAATACCTAAATCATCATAACTCAACTCCTACGGCTCCTCTTTAGATTGCTGTAAATCTAATGACCATCTGGGCTTCGCGTCTTGAGTTAACCTTGCTTTTCCTGGAAGAAAGTAACTTTGTGTCAGCGATACCCTTTAAAAATGGCACTGGCCTCAGATTTGTTATTCAGATCCATTCTGTGTGTTTCTTGACTTACCCTGCTTTCTGAAGATATTTTGTGACCAGATTTATGTTTTCCTAAAATAAAATGCAGAGATGCGTTTTAGGCCGGTGGTTGAGTTTTTTGTGGGTCTATTGCTACGGTTGAATGACTAGTTTGTTTCCTCAACCGAAATGATGATAGTAAACAGTACAGCATCCTTACACAGCACACACACACACATACACCCGGAAGGGTATTCACCAAAATGTTAACTGTGATTATCTCTGGGAGAAGAGATTTGGGGTGAGTTTTATTTTATTGTTTGTATTTTCATGTATTATTTGAAATGTTTTAGTGAGCAAATAAACAGCACTAAACAGCTGAAGCGTTGCCCTTTCCAGAAAGCCTTTCCTAACTCCAGACAGGTCTAGTGTTGCCCTCTGACCTCCCAGCCCACCCTCCGCACGTCTCAGCCACAGAAAATCCATATGACAGTGGAAAGATATTTATTAGTATGTGTTGCCCTTCCTATGAAATCATCAGCTCTTGAATCTCCCTGATGCCCTATTTATTTTGCTTTTCCTGTTCCAAGCTCAGCGACGGCACATAACAGGTACCCAATGACTCAAACTATTGGAGAACGAAACGAACATCCTCTAAGGTGATGTATTGTAGGGGGCAGTAGGTGTGAGTTTTATAAGATTAAGATGTGTTTTTCTTCCAACTGTTTTCATGAGATAAATAGATTGTGGAGAAATGCAAAGCAAAAACAAAATGCTATCCTTCCCATGAACAGACTTCCTTAAGAATCTTTGGTTGACTGTGCACACCTCTACACACCCCACTGAGGATTAGGTTGGGATCTTTATGTGCTAACATCATGCCCAGTACTGATCATATAACTCAGTTTAAAGTGTGCTGTAACTCAGTGTCAGAGCCCAGGATAATGCCAGGCCCATCATAGGTGCCCCCAAATATTGGTTGAACAAGTGAATAAAAGAATGAATGAGTTCATGAACTGCTGGCTGGCAGTATTTAATCAAATATGCATGCTGAGCCATTTCCCAAGCTGTAGACAGATTCGTAGTGGTCCAGCCACTGGCATACCTGGTGTCCCTTGGCACAAAGAGCACAGTTTGGAAGACAGCTAGGTGTGGTCAAGAGTCCAGGACATTGACAGAGAGGCCAGCTCCTACAGGGGAGTCAACTGATCAGGACCGAGCTCTCAATTGAAGTGACCAGCAAGAGATGAGTCTCCTGACCCCTGGCTGAGTCTCATAATGGTCACAATCCTCAGAAGGATGAGGGGAATCTAAAGGCCAGATCTTCCCCAGCTCTCTCTGAGTTACCTGCCTGAGTAGCAGAGCGAATGGAAACATGGAGTCTGGCCTGTGTGCTGTCTGGATCAATATACTTTATGTGTGATACTCAAGGCAGGCAGATCTCTCAATGCAGGGGAAAAGCCCCCGCCTGGACATGGATCCCTAGGCCTGTCTGATGGTCCAGGCTGAAGCCCCACCTGGTCTTTCACTGCCAGACCCCATCAGCAAGAGCTGCTTCTGCTCTTAGCTCTCTGTGGTGAGCAGGGCTTGTATCCTGGCCGGACGTTTCTTTTCTTCTCGCTGATAGGAAAGGTCACAGCAAGCTGCAGGATGGAAGTGACCCCTGGGCCTGCCTCAGCTTGCTCCTGGTTTGGAGGGTGGCAGGGTGACCAACCATGCCATTTTGCGTGGGACGAGAGGTTTTGTAGGAGGTGGGGCTTTCAGGTTTAAAATTGAGACAGTCCTGGGAAAACCAAGATGAATTGGTAACCCTAAGGGTGGGCTAGGCCAGAATAGGCTCGGTGGAGCCTGGGGACACCTTAGCTCCCAGAGCTGACCATGGGACCCCCAGAGTGCAGGGAGGGAAACGTGAGGGCCCAGGAGGGGCTCTGCCGGTTGTGGCTGGGTGGAGCGGGCATGACTGAGGGCCCTTGGGGGCTGAGACATGGGGAGAGCAGGCTTCGTGACGGTGAAGGGGTCTCAAGTGCAGAGTGGCTCCGCCTCCTGGTGGGGGCAGCATCTAGTGGTGGGCAAACCCTCTGTCTTCAGAGTTCCGGGCCTGGGCGGGATCCCCGCTCCATCACTTCCTCAGTTCTGTGACTTCTTCCTCAGCCTCAGTTTTCACATGTGTTAAATTGGGATAATAACAGTGCCAAATTTATGGGGTTATTGTGGAGAATAGTGAGAGAGAGCATTTGAAAATGTTTAGCACATAAGTGCTGAATCTTATTATCTATTATTGCTATATTTATTATTGTTATCTTATTGTGTTAGTTTTCTATCGCTGCGTAACAAATTTCCACAAACTTACTGGCTTAAAACCACAGACATTTACCATCTCACAGTTTCCATGGGTCAGAGGTCTTCACGGCTGAGCTGGGTCCTCTGCTCAGGGTCTCAGCAGGCTGTGATCAAGGTGTCAGCCTGACCCGCCATCTCAGGTGAGGCTCAGGGTTCTCTTCCAGGCTCACGCGCCGTTGGCAGAACTCAGTTCTTTGTGGTTGTAGGATGAAGGCCCTCAGCTCCTGGAAGCCCCTTACCAGACACATTGCCTTCTCCACAACATGGCAGCTTACTTCTTTAAGGCCAGTAGGAGAGCATCTTTGGTGCTTTTTTCATCTCTGACCTCTAGACCCACTTTTACTGGGTTCGTCAGATTAGGTCAGGCCCACCCCAGGCAAGCTCCCGTTTGATTAACTTAAAGTCAACTGATTCGGGACCTTAGTTACATCTGCAAAATCCCTTTCACCTCTACCTTATAAGGTAACTTGGTGAAATCATATTCCAGGTCCTGCTCACACTCAAGGGGAGGGGACTGTACAAGAGTGTGGGCCATTTCAGGATTCTGACTCCCTCAGTTGTCTTCCAGTCTCAGAGGAACCAAAGGGAGCTGGATGGCTGGTGGGACAGTGGGTCCTCTGGGCAGAAGCGTGGTAAAACGTGTGTGTGTGTATGTGTGTGTGTGAATTTGTACGTGTGGACACCGGGAAGGGGATTTCATGAGGAAGGAGGCTGGGGTTGTCTCCACGTCCTGGAGGGCAAGCTTCTCAATCTTTTTATGTCCCCTGTGGGAAACAGCACAGCAAAAGAACAGATGAAGCTGAGACATAGAATAAATGAACTCCTCCCTCTCCTTCCATTTGGACTAAAACAGGATTCTTTTCATGATGGGACCCTCCCTGGTTGTAAAGAGAGAATCTATGCAACTAGTTTTTTATAATCACCCCCCACCCCAGGCCTTCCCCATCTCAGTAAATGTCCCACCCAACGTTCAGTTGCTCAGGCCCAAAACGAAGGCACTATCCTCCTCCCCTCCTTTCTTCTTTCCCACCCCACAGTCAATCTATTACCGTGTTCTGTGAGCTCTGCTTCAATGTACGTCCCACGGCTGGCCACCTCTCACCGTCACCATTGCTGTCCCTGCTGTCCCTGAGCCAACACTCTCTCTCTTCTGGACAGTTTCCATAGTCACCTCCATGAGGTGTATGTCACAGACCCTCGCTTAAAACCTGCCAGGGAGTGTTCATAACTCTTAGGATAAACTCCAGATACCTTGACCCTGCCTTCCAGGGCCTGAGCCATCAGCCGCTTTCCTCTCCTCACTCCTCCCCGTCGCTGGCTCAGCTCCCACCACGCTGGCCTTCATGCTGCTCGCTCTCATGCACTGCTCTCCCCCCAGACCACTCTGTAGCTCCCTCCCTCCTTTTATTGAGTCTCTACCAATGGTCACCTCCTCACAGAGCCCTCAAGACCACCACACCACATTACACAGAAGCCCAACTGCCCTCCACCCCACCCACCGTCTGCTACCCTTCCTTACTGTTTTCCTCTGTACTCACCACCACCCAAAATTAGACCACTTATTTACCCCTTTACTCGCTTATTGTCAGTCTCCTCCACTAGGATGGAAGCTTCAAAAGGACAGGGATTTTGCCTATATCGTTTGTCACTCTATCCCATGGCCTAGCACAGCCCGGGGCATGTAAGCAGGACTCTTGACACCCTTGAATCACTCACAGGATAGACTGAGCTGTGTGGGATGGTGTTGACTGGTTGATGTGAGTGTGCGGTGGTGGTTGTGGTGGTGATGGCTACAGGGCTACAAGCAAATTTGGGACAGGGAACCTAACAGATGTTCTCAATTTTAGTAAGCAAAGCTCCAGCTGTGGAACCTGCTAAAAAAATGCAAATCCCTTAGCACCACCCCGAGAGATATTTGGCAGGTCAGGGACGGCGCCCGGACTTCACATTCCTGGTGAGATGCTCAGGCTCTTCTGGATGCGCGTGGTTGTGGACCACCGTTTCAGGAGCTTTTTCTCCAGAGCTGTAGTGCCCACTGTGGTAGCTATTAACCCCACGGGGCGACTGAGCCTCTGAAACACGGCTCCTCTGACCTGAGCTGTGCTGTAAATGTAAAATGCACACCAGATTTTGAAGACGTAGTGAAAAAAAAAAACCTCATTAATAATGTTTTATATTGATTACACATTGACATAATAATCTTGTGGATATATCGTGTTAAATCAAATGTATTCTTAGACTCAATTTCACCTGTTTGTACTTTTCTTAATGTGACTACTAGAAAATTTTAAATTACATATGCAGCTCATGTTATATTTCTATTGGACACACTGACCTAGAAGTTCTGTGGGATCCAGCAAGCACTCACGGCTGGGATAAATGCTAGACCCCATCCTAAGCCCTTACCTCTAGGTATGATTTCTTACAGACAATACTGAAAAATGTGCTGATGGGAATTACCACAAGGAGCAAACCGGTCCTGTTTAAACCTGGAAAGGAGTTCTTTGAAGCTTGTTACCATATGATCATGAGAATGTTTCATTAAGTATTTCTGATCACAGATGTGGCATATTATTAAAATATCATTTTTACGGTCACCCTAGAGATGAGGGTTATCTGAATATGGAGAGAGAAACAGCTTGTGGAGCTGTTGTATAAATGAAATTACTAGAAAGCAGCGCACTCGATTGCATATTGGCTTGGGGGCTTATTCTTATTAAAATGTTTAGATAGCAGTTTCTGTTCATTTCTGCAGAATTGCTCTCCAAATTAAAAATTTGGCTTGGCACACCAATAGGCCCAAGTCCCAGGAGAAGTCTATCCTCCTTTTTTTCTTGTTATCCTTGCCTAAGCACTTAGATGCTGTGCTGATACGCAGTGAAGACTGTCTGTATGGAGCGCGAGTATTAGAATTTACTGGAGCCCTGCAAATTGGCACATTCCTACTTGCCTAAAAGAAGTCAGCACAGGCTTTAAGAAAATAAGAAGGTCCATCTATAGAAAAGCAACAACTCTGTCTCTCTTTTGATAATTTTTGGAAATAATTTTTAAAGGAAATTGGCCTTAATGGTTGAAGAAGTTGCTGCAAAAACGGGCTTGTGATTAATAGGCTGGAAACCACTGCATAAACATAATGAAATATGAGCCTTCTCAGAATTCAAACTAATAAATAACTGCTCAGCCAATCAAGAGGGCAAAAGAATGAACATTTGGTGCAGGATAGCTTCATTCTGTGCATATACATTTGGGTCCTCAACGTCAGTACTATGGCAACAAGAATGTGGCCACAGCGACTGTCTGGAAATGTCTATTCTCACCTGGAGCCTAGAGGCCACACCCACTGGGCACACAGCCTCCCTTCCACACCCCAATTATATTTAAACTTATCAACGCATCGACCAGTGACATATGAAAATAGTGCTGGCTGATGCAACTGACGCCATGAGGCTGAATGATTCTTGTAATTTCCAGCCTCAGAAAAAGGCTGGGGGAAGGAGTGTGTGTGTGCGTGTGTGTGTGTGTGTGTTTAGTTCGTGCCTCCTGAGAGGAAAATAACCACAATAACATTTTGTGATTCAGCTGACACATCCTTTCCGTCTCCCTTTCAATCACCTGGTTTAATGGGGACCACAGAAAGCATAACTAATGCCTGAACCTCATCTCATTTTAACCCTTTGTTTCAAAGCTCTTTCATGAGTTCCCTGCCTTCAATCTTCCCATGTGGTGGGGCTGTTATTGAGAAATTAAATAGCAGAGAAGGGAAGTATGTCGCCAGGAAATTTGGAGCTGCTTGTGTACTTTTTTAGAATGTTCCGCCACCTCAGTGAGGGATTTTTAACTGGCATGTTATCATGAAACAAGTCAAATAAATCTTCACGCACAGGGCCTGAGCTTGATAAAATGCTGAAAAAATAAAAATAGAAATGAATTTAAAAATTAGCCACTATTTCTGACCCTTATTAGTCTTTTTATTGTTCTGTTGGAAGCATTTTAAAGCATAGCATCAGAAAAACTCCTACCGTTGAGAGAGAACTTGGTGTTTGGTTCGCTCAGACCCGAGAAAGAAGGAAAGAAGGAAATGCCATCGAAGAGGGGAAGAAACTAAAGAGGAGAAAAGAGAAGAAAGCAAAAGCCAATATAAAATGAAAATGTTAGAAACACTTTAGAGTGTCTACCCGTTATTTGAGGGAACAGAATTATTTATAAAAAGATGCTCAATAGTTGAATCTACAGCGGGGAGGACCAGCAGTATGGACGGTAGGATCTCAGAGGAGGCAGTGACTGCTGCCTAAAATAGTCAAGGGTAGGGAGGAGGAACTTCGCTGGGAGACAGGAGAACATGGTGGGATGGGCCTGACAGTGGGGCGAATGGTGCTCCACGGTGAGCTGGGGGATCTGCAGAGCCACCCTAACTGGGCACATCTTCCTGGATCCCGGAGATTGGACCCATCCAATTTTACAAGATGGCTGTAGTTTAAAACAGTTATATATTGACAAACAGATCTATTATGTGATAGAAATGCAAAATTCATATGGGTTCTTAATATAAAACACAAGACTTGAAAGCAGCATTTCCTGCTACGTACTTGAGTTACTGTCCTCTGTAACTTAGGGAGTCTTTGGAGGGAAGAGTGGAAAGATACCCGACTGTGAACGCAGGGATCATTAGGAGAGCGTAAGTAAACCATTTTGACTGGAGTGAAGGATTTCCTAAAAGAAAGGTCTATGGGTTAGATTGTGGACCTCAGTTGCCAGCCAGCCTGTGGGATTTGGCTGCTTTCGATAGAGAGTTGTTGAAAGTGGGTTTTTTTGAGAGAATGATGACTTGCGCAAAGCAGGGTTTTAGTAGAATAATCTGGCAGCTTTGGAGAACGGAGTTGGAAGAAAGGAACCAGCTATACAGGAGAGAGGAAATGAGCTGGAGATAATGGGTAGGTGGGCATTTCAATGGTCTAAATGCCAGGTGGCACCTGGACTAAGATGGTGGCTGAGGGGATGGAGAAGATAGAGTGGAAGATGTAGCATCATGAATAAACAACAACGAGGAAGCACGACTGGTTGCATGGAGCAGGGAAAGGAGAAGGAGAATGAAGGAGAACTCCTGGTTTTGAGCCTGGCCGAGAGGAGAATCGCTGAACAAATAATCCCCGTCTGCCCCCACCGTAGCCCAGGCCTAGAGCTAGGTGCTGGGCACCAACAGGGACCAAGAGAGACAAAATGGCCCTTGAGCAACGTTCCTTCTCATGGGACATTAAGCAGTCAGAGAGGTGGAAGAAACACCAGAGCAACATAGGTCACAAAGCCCAAGAGTGCACAGCCTCAACTTACAGTTCTGTGTAAATCATCAAGAACAATGAAAATCAAAGGACATTGGAAAGCCTCTTATAAGGAGGAATGAGAATCCTGAATACTTGACAGTAACCAGGACGATGCCGTTACACTCTCTCTCTGTGTGCCAGGCACGGGTATGTGCTTTGTACGCCTCATCTTATCTAATCCTTAGTAACCCACAGGTGAGGACATTTGCCCAAGGTCTAAGAGCTAGGAAGCAGCATACATGGGATCCAAATTCGAGTCCATCTTGTCTTAAAGCTGTTGTGACTTTATTAAATAGGTCCAAGCACAGCTCTTGGGTTTGGGGTATAGGACGGCACTGAGATGTTTAAGGTGGGTGAGAGTTAGTTATGCACTCAGACCTCATTATCACGTTATGAAGAAAGCAATTCTCAGACCAAGTTCGGCCACAAACACAGGCCTTTTATTAAGCCAACATTCCTTGAGAAAGCAAGCCCAGGACAGTTCACACGGCTGTGAGCTTGATGGGTCTACCTCTTGTCTGAAAAGTTCACAGAAGCAACAGCAACATTCGGTGCCGTCCCTGTGGCCATGGCCACAGGCCTCACTGGATTCCTACAGCGCCTCATGCACACGTGGGGAGCGCCTTTACAATGTTTACCCAGCCCTCCACACTCGAATACCTTTGATTTTGCCATCGAGAGCCTATGTCCGATATTCATCATGTAGACTAGCAAGCCTCTCATTTCACCAGTAAAACTCACTTCTGACGCTCACGATGTTAATTTTCAAAGCCTCAGTGATCTGAAGACCTGACGTCTTTGTGATATAACACCAGCTGACCACCCTGGAGGCTCCAGCTAATACAAACTCAGTGTTCCCTTGCTCAAAGTCAAACCATTTTAAAGTAAATTATCGATATTATAAAGTAAATCCATACTCTGAACCATTACTCCAGAAAACCTGTAAGGTAGATTTCAAAGAAAAATTGGCACTGATCAACTGTAAAGTACCTATATTATTCTCTTTGACTGGGGAATCTTAAACTCCTGGCCTGGGCATGAGAATACCAGCTAATAATGACCAGCTCCCAGTATGGGCAAGGTGCCGTGCCCAGGGCTCCAGCTCCAGCTGCTCATGTCATCTTCAGAACAAACCCATGAGCTGGGTGTGGTTCGTGCATGCCCATCTTACAAAGGAGGACAGCGAGTAATTCCACCCACATCACACAGCTCAGAACTGATAGATGTGGCATCCGGGTCTGGACCTTGGGGGTGAGGAAGCTCGAAAACGCTGAAATTATTCTCACAGTTGTGTGTATGTGGGCACCCATGTTCACGTTGCTTCTGGGGGAGCGGGTGGGGAAGGGCTGGGCTAAGGTTCTGGGACTTTCATTGGCTTCTTGAAGGCTTTCAGCTCCATGGTCTAGCCGGCTCCGTCAGAATGCAGACGCCTTGCCTGACAGCTGCCTGTCGTAAGTCATCTTCCTAATGGAGGCACCAAGCAGATGCTTCATTTCCCCTTCCGCAGACAGACGTATTGAACTGGGTCTTTTAATCTAAAAACAGAGCAACATTGTCCTAATTTATGGAAAACATGTCAGGTAAGAAAAATCACATTTATAAGAAATCAATTGATCCTTTGTATTTGTAATTTATTTTTCTGAATTTTCCAATTTAGAACTAGGCTTAAAGAGAACGGGACAGCTCCACACTGTGCAAAATAAAAATACAGGTCTTCTTCTTATTGTTTGTTAAAGAAAAGAGACTTAAGTAATTTTCCTGATAATGCCTTACACGCCTTCTAGACTTTACAGGTAATTTCTAACTCAACGATCCTTTGCTGTTTGAAAATAATCTACTCCCATATTTGTTTGCACCGAAGCAAAGCCATCCCATTTCCTTTGGCTTTGGTGAGGTGTTGACGGAACAGATAATTGAAATATCCTTCTGTTGCTAAAGCAAACTGACTTGAAAAAGAAGATTACAGGAGGGAGAGGAAGGAGACAGTTTTTTGAAATACTTTGTCCTTCTATCTTCTTTCAGGGATCCTGAGTTTCAATGGAATGATACTTCAGGAATTATTACAAAAAGAAAATGTAGTCCTCTTATCCCTTCTCTACTCAAGTCGTACACTTTTATCTTAAAAATTGCCTGAAATGTTTATAGAAAAAGGTATGTACTTTGTACAATAACTTGAAACATGTTCTACGCACACATGCCCAGCACTCTGCCACTTCAGTGCTGGCCAGGCCACACTCTAGAAATTAGGCTCAAATACTCAAATGCCTGATTGTCCTTTGTGGCTCATCTGCCCTTCTACAGAGCATCCCTATGAGCACCACGGCTCTGCCCAATATGATATGAGGATTTGGTTATATTATGCAGAAATTCAGGAACTTCCCGCTATAATGCTTCAGTATGCAGAATTGAGAAGTATTTTGGGTTACTGTATCAGAACTGAGGGAGAAATTGGTGTGGAAATTGATTTTTCCAAAGCCTCCACATCTCAAGTGCAAAAACTCTTTTATCTGGTTAGTTCTGGGGAAAGAACAGCTGGGAGCTAATGAATGGGAAGAGACGCCAAGATATCTCAGCTCCATGTTGGCCCTAATTGCACTTCCACCACCAGCCCTAGCGGATGCTGAATCAGGTGGGTGAGCACCTAGGAAAATTCTCCTCCTGTTAGCGGGTGGCCAGTGTGCTTTGGGGCCACTTTCTCAGAGATCGTCACGGTCATAAGCTGATTCACTCCCATCCTCTTGCCTGATCCCCAACTTCCTTGTGACCCCCGTTCCCCACACGTATGTGAACCACAGCAAAAGGGAGGCATTTCAGGCTGGAGGGCAGTAAGAGGAGCTTTTAATATGAATGGTTTCCTCCTTCAAACACCGAGAGCATTCCCACTCCCCACTCTAACTGTGCGTTTACAACCCCAGGCTCCTCACCTGTGCTATAAATTCCATGAGACAAAGGGCTTTGTCTTACCTTTCTCTTGTATATTTTCAACCAGGAGCAGAGTGCTGTGACTATAGTAGACACTCAATGAGTACTGATGGATTAATTCCTTCTTTGGATGTGGCAGAGGCTTCCGTGGATGTCGTATTTCCTCTGGTAGACAGAAAGTTTCGTAAAGACAGGAACTACGCATTAATCATTTTTGCATCTTACGCAACATCCAGTTTAATTTATGGTTCAGGGTAATGCACAATAATTACCCTGGAGAGACTGAAGAGATACGGCAGTGATGAGTGGACCAAGTTTTGTGATGGCCTCACAATTTATAGTGTTGGAAAATGGGGATGGGGTAATATTTAGATTTTTTTTCCTGGTAGAGGAACATTTACTTGGCATGGTTTGACCACTTTCTTCTCTTGAAAGATTTTCTTCATTTGGCTTCCAAGAAGGCCCCACACACCTGAGGGAGAAATTAGTGTGGAGATCTTGCCACCTCATCCTCTCTTGCTTGCTCCTCCCCAGCTTCCCGTGGTGGAGAGCTCGGGCTTGGTGCGAGGATCTCTTGGCCATATTCTTACATCTACACTGAATCCCTGAGAGCTCTTCTTCATACTTGCCAATTTCTAAAATTTTGTCTCCTGCAAAAGAGATCTTTTTCTTTAAACCAGTGGACTAGAACTAGAATAGCCAGTTGACCTCATCTCCACTTAATATCTCCAAAACGAAACCCCTGATTTCCCCAACCCCCAAAATCATTTTCTCTCCCAGTGGTCCTCGTCTCAGTAAGTGTCAACCCTGTTCTAATTGCTAAAGCCTTGGGGTCAATTTGACTCCTCGTCCTCTCACACTGCACATCCAGTCCTGAGGAAGTCCTGTCAGTTTCACCTTCAAAAGATGTTTTGAAAATCTAACCATCCTCACCACCCTGCTACCTGCATCCTGTTCTGAGCTCCCACCATCCCTGCAACATAAGCTTGGGGAGCACACAGACCTTGTCTGTTTTGTTTGTGGTGGTATCTTCAGCTCGTGGTACATCATCTGGCACATAGGAGGTGCTCAGTAGCTATTTAATGAGTAAATCTCTCACCTAGATCACTCTAGTGATCCCCTAACTGTGCATTTCTCAACCTCAGCACTACCGACATTCGGGGCTGGGTAATTCTCTGTTGTGGGGCTTTTGTGTGCACTGTAGGACGGTTAGCAGCATCCCTGGCCTCTATCCACCAGATGCCTGGAGCGCATGCCTCCACCCCAAGTTGTGACAACCAAAAACACCTCCAGACATTGTCCACTGCCCACTAGGGGGCAGAACCACTGCCACAGCTGCTCTGCTCCCATGGTCTCTGAGCAGCCAGACTCTCTAAACACGTAAGTCAAACCATGGCTTCCCGCCCACTCAGAGTAAAATCCAAACCCCTTACAGCACCTGTAAGGCTCTCCCTTTTCCCCTGACGTCGCCCCTCCACACTGCTCCCTTCGTCCGAGACACGCTCCTTGCCCCGACTGCCTGGAACACCCTGCTCCCGGACACCCACATGGAGCCTATAAAGCAGCGTCCTTCTTCTAGCCTTGGCACTCCATATGCTCCCACCATGCCCTGTGCCTTTGTAGTGTTTAGACAAATGGGCCTGGAATGGTGCCTGGCCGTGGTTAGGTGCTCAAAAAACGTCTGTGGAGTGAACAACAAATGGACGAATGGGCAGACACAGAAGACAGTGGTTCTGTTGGAGGTCTTCATTGGCTGCCTCCATCTTCTTTCTTTGGCTCTCTCCTAATTCTTGCCAGATCACAATTGGTTCTCTTTCCTCCTGACGTTGAACATATGACCAGAGCTCAACAAACAGTATAAAAGAAACCAAAATAGACAACCGGAAGCTTCACAGGGTGGATCTTCCAGAAGCCAGCGTGGACGCGATCTCCTTTATGTCCCAGGACGGGGCTTTCTCTGAGGTTAGCAGCCCAGCTTAGTGAGCAGTGCTTAGGGTTGGGAGTTACGTTGCCTGTGTGCAGGCAGGCAACCCCTTATCCCCTGTGTGGTCACGGGCAACCTACTTTTCCCACTGTGCTCCATGCCCTTATCTGTAAAATGGGAGAATAATGTAATAGAATTCCCATCCTCACCACCCTGTCAGGATTAAGAGAATTAAATATAAATGTCAAGTGTTTCAGCATGTGGTAAGCCCCAGGTAAATATCTGCTACTATGATTAGTCTGCATATATGCTGTCTTCGTGAGGATTTGCTGCCTGGTGATATTATGGAGCTTTGAAAGTTTCTGCAAGACATTCATTCATTCAGTCCACATGTAAGTACTGCGTGCTGTTCCAGGTACTGGGGACATGGGTTGAATAAGATGAACAGGCCTCTGTCTTCTTGGAGTTTACATTCTATTTTGAGGATACAGACAATAAGCAAATAAACAAAAATTTATCAGATAGTGGTAAGCGGTGTGATAAAAATAAAGCAGGGCGATGAGATGGGGCGGGGTACGAGAGGGAGATTGCTTTAGGTTTCATGATCTGGAAAAGCTGCTTTGAAAGGCAACTTTGAAACCGTTACCTGAATGACAGCAAGGCAGCAGCTGGGCAAACGCCCGGGGCAAGCATTTTCCCAGCACAGCAAGCAGCCCGTGCAGAGCCCTAAGCAGGGAGCGAGCGGGCTTAGGGCATTGAGGAGCAGAAAGAAAACCGGTGTTGGTGGGGTGGGGTTAGTGCCATCGGGGTGAATGGGAGAAATTGAGAGCAGGGAGGTGGAATTATGTGCATTGTAGACCCCAGGAAAGGGTTCGGAAATTTTTTTAAAGGTCTGGGGAAGCATTGGAGGGTTTAAAGCTGGCAAATGGCATTTTACAAAGATGACTCTGGTTGCTGGGAGGAGAATGGGCTGCAGAGAGGCTTGCGTGAAGACAAGGACACCAAGGGGGACAATGACAAGCAAACCTCGTGACCAGTGGGGGCATTATGACAGAGGTTCTGTCACGATGTGCTGTTCAGATGCAGCTCTCAATCTTGTTACAAGACACCGGTATGCGCGCAAGGCTGTGGTGCTGGTAACTCTGACCGATCCTCCTGACCCGGTTGCTGGCTGGCTACCCCTGCAGGCCTCTTGCCTTTTTTCTCTCCAAGGAGGTTTTAATGTAAACCTGTAATGTGACCAGTGTGGGGGGGAAAGGGTGAGGCTAGATCCCCTTTACTTCTAGAAATTTCTCCCATGGCTCCTGGGAATATTAAGAAAATAAGCTAAAATAGTGTTGAATCTCACGGGAGAACAACAGTGCCTAAGCAAAGGCTGAGTAAGAGTTCTCTACTGACAATGGATCGCGTTTTTACGTTTCAGCTTTTTGACAGGGACAGTAACACATGTGGACCATGTTTGTTTTAAGAATCTAGAAAAACACACAGAGCCTTCTTCCAAAGGTTAAAAACAGAAAGGCCCCTGTGCTCTCATTCTATAAATTCTATTATGAGTGAGGCCATATGTTTCACATTTAATAAACAGTCACTGGGTTGGAAGGATTTCTTTTCTGGATCCAGCGGACTGAAGGCTAAAGGGTTTTGTGTTTTTGCTGTTCTAATTTACACCACTATTTATAGACCTGCCATTTCCCATAATTAGAATACTTTCCAAAACGCAAGGAAGAGGCCAAATGAAGTTGCTAGAGGTCTTCTATCCTGATTATTCAAAAGAGAAAAACCACCCCTGACAGCAGGACTTACGTGCCTGAAACAGTGGTCTTTGATCGGCCCATGCCAGAGGTCTCCCCTGTTTGTCCATACAAGAGCGTTTCTTGGGCAGCCTGGGTTACAGTTGCCAGATCAAATACAGAACACCCAGTTAAATTTGAATTTCAGATTTTAAAAAATGAATAATTTTTTAGTATAAGTATCCCAAGCATCACATGAGCAGATATTAGTTGTTTATTTGAAATTCAAATTTAACTGGGCTTCTGCGTTTCTATTTGCTAAAGTGACATCTGTAGCCCTGGTTTGAGATGGATGTGAGACATCCCCAGTAGCAGGAGCCACTTATGTTGCACATCTGCTGCCTCCTTGGGCCTGGCCATCTCTGGTTACCTACTCCTCTCTACCCAGCTAGACCTGCCAACATACAGCAACAGCATTGTCACTGGAGTGAGCAGCTCTCTTTCTTTACCTACCTTCGTGTGTCTCAATTAGACTCCCACGGCTATATTTAGGACATTCCCTCCTTTCACTGCCCTATAGTAGAAGCCATTATCCACCCATCCATCCATCCATCATCCATCTGTCTACCCATCCACCCAACCGGTAAGTATTCATAGAACACTTTTAAGTACCAGACACCATGCAGCAAATCCATAATCTCCCTGGGAACATATCGTGTGAACAATTCATGCTCTGTCTTGGAGCCACCTTCTTGGAAGGCTTCCAGAACACAGGAAGCAGCTGTTGTGATGAACAGAACAGCTCTGATCCCAGCACCTCTGGACCTGTCCACCTCAGCCTACACAATTCAGTTGCCCTAGAACTAGTCCTGACTTGTGGAGGGTGGCACAGGGAAGCTGAAAGCTAGATAGGACTGTCCCGTTGTATCAGTTAGGGAAGGCTACTTCTTGTAACTAACAGACCTCTTGTAACAGTGTGCAATCACCGCAGACATTTATTTTCTTGTCCAGATAATACTTCTGGACAGGGGCAGAGGTTGGCGGGGGGCATCTCTCTTCTGCACAGTCCTTCAGGGTCTTGGACTGGCAGAGACTCTGCCATCATCACCAGATCGCTAGTTACTTCCAAAGTTGCCCAGGGTCACCGTCATTCCAGCCAGCCAGAAGAGGATGAGCGCATGCAGGCATGCATGGGAGATTTTTGAGACCAGGCCTGGAAGTGGCCCACGTTGCTTCCTCTCAGATCCCTTGGGTAGCCACATGGCCACTCCTAGTTGCAAGGGCAGCCAGGCGATGTGTGCCCGGGAAGAAGTTAAGAATGAGGACTTAGTTAACTTTTCTGAGCCTCAGTTTCCTCATTTGTGAAATACTCTACTGATTGCCTCTTAAAGTCAATTGGTAAAAATCTCTGCCGGAACCCACCATGGGCGGGTCTGACAACTTTTCATAGTGTCCTTTTCCCAGGGTCAGACCTCCCTACCCCACAAAAAGCCACTCTGAAGATAAAGGAGAGCTGATCCTTCTTCCATTTTTCCCTCCTACCTGGTTCTTGGCTCTTGCCTTTCTTATTCTAGCTGCCAAGAGTGAAGCCACTTCATCTCACAGGAGCTTCAGTAGTCCACTTACTGGCTGGTTGCTTTGGAACTTTGAATGCATTTCTCCATTTATAAAAGCAGCTGTAGGTGGGGTGGTTCTGTCCCCACTGAGGCCCTGCCCCCATCTTCTGGCCCAAGGTCACTCTAAGGAGTTGACTGGCTGGAGGTGCCAGCACCTGTGCAGTTCCCAAGGCAGCATCTGAGAAGGCTCACAGAGAGCAGGGGCCCCAGAGGCTTTGTGAGTGGCTGGTTCCCATGGCAATCATGGGGTGGCCTCCAGAGCAGCCAGTAACTAGTAGCCCTGGCTAGAAGCTGATGGTAAATTCAGGGCTTCTAAGTAAGCCTGGAACTGCCTGTGGTTGCAACCTAGCGCAGAGCATCTTTCAAGCTGGGTTATTTCCATTACCAGCATGCCCTAAATAGCTCTGTTTCCATTTCATTGAAACAAACATTTATTGAGCTTCTGCATGCCAAACACTGTAGTTGATAGTGGGAACCTGAGAATAAGACAGTCATCGGCCCTCACCTGGCAGAGCTCCCAGCCTAGAGGGTGGGATGAACACACATCTACAACATAAAGAGACAATGCCCATCAGACCCAGGAGGAAGGAGGTGGTCGGAAGTCTCCGGGGGGGGGAAGAGAGGCGTGGATAATGAGTAGTTTCAGGAGGAAGGAGGGGGGCTTGGTCTAAGCAGTGGCCACAGCACCCGCAGAAGCTCAGAGAAGCTATAGAATGCTCATGACGAGGTCGTGTGCAGGGGGAGTGTGTGGGTAAGGCGATGGCACGGGAGCTGCTGGCAAGCCTCAGCGAGCAGGAGCACCCTAAGGAGTTTGGATCATGCCTTCTCAGAGTCGAGCATTTGAGGCTGAGTCCAATGGATCCATGAGTATTTTCAAAAATTTTAATTAGTTTTAGATCTCTTGGATCCATAAAAAGGAAAGAAAAGCCTGAGTATGTTTCTCTACTGTTTGGCAAATCCTGCCCACTGACAAGTCCTGTCTACACCCGCGGAAAGATCATGATGGATCTGGCCTGGAGAAGCCAGCTGGAACTTTCTGTGAAGTTGGAAAACTTTCCACTGCAGCCCAGTCCTGCAGGGGGTGTCTTTGTGTGGGGTAATGTTCCCTCCCCTTGCTCCACACAGCCTGGCATCCCTACGCTACACCTGAGGTCCACCTTAACATCCGGGTATACGCACTCCCTTGTGAGGTGGCCAACTGTGCCGGTTTTAGCACCAAAAGTCCTGTGTCCCAGGAAGCCCCGCAGTCCTGGGGCAAACCTTCAGGACAGAGAAGAAGGGCTCAGCTGGGACCTCGGGCTCATAGGATGCTGACTGGCAGGTGGGGTGATGGAGAGGAGGTTGGCTGTGGAGCCAGGCCTGCCCCACTGCAGCTTGATTGCTCTGCTTAGCTGTGTCATCTTACAGAAGTCACCTCATCTTCTTGAATTTTAGTTTCCTCATCCTTTACAGGGTAAAAAGAATATCCATCTCATGGGTTTGGAAATAATGTATGTTAAACACCGTCAGGTAGGAAGTGCTCATAAACGATTATTTTTTAGGGGAAGACAAGTTAACGGTTGCCATATAATATTCTAAAAGCTGTACTGAGCTTTTATATTGAATGTTGATGACACAAAGGAGGAGGAGCATGTGACTGCCTCGGTGGTCAGGGAAGTCTTACAGTTGCTGACGAGGCTCCCAGGTGGGACTGCTCTCCTGCCTCTCACACATCCACTGTGGACTGTGATGAAAAATTAGAGAAAAAGGAAGTGCAGGAGAGTGAGAGTGTATTGAGTAGCAGGAAACTTTGAGGAGTGAAGGTTGCAGACACAAAGCACGTCCAGTCTCTGAACTCAAGTTCAGTCCATGTCGGGGAAGAACCTGCAGGTGGGAGATTCTGAAGCCCGCAAGTGCCCTGGAGCAGACTGCCTAGTAAGAGGGTATAGGCATTCCAGAATTCTTAGGAAGTTCTGGAACATTCTAGCATATTGGAATGCACTCCCTGTGGTGAAGCCAGAGGGCAGGGAGAAGTTCACACGATTCTGTTTGTGAGGAAGAGACTGCGTTTGCTGACTCGTCTGCTTGTGGGGTGCCTGGGGGAGGACCACAGCCACCTTGTAACCATGTCTAGAGAGTTCTGTCCTTCTAGAGAGTCCGGGACTCCAGACAGTGAAGCAAATGTCCTTCAAGAGACTAGCCAGGTCTGAAGTGTCCTGTGATTTCTTTCCCAGGAAGTCTGAAGAATGTTAATTGTGGAAAATCAGTACCTTCCTCCCATCTACCTCCGCAGTTGGATGTCTCCTCTTGAAGGTCATCTTTTGTGCTGAAGCTTTGGAGAAGGCACTTTTTTTTTCTCGTTCAGGAATCACAGCTCCTTGATGCCCAAGAACATCATCAACAATGACGTGAAGTGAGATTAGTCATGAGCAAGTCTCTGACTCTCATGAAAGCTCCATCTCTCAGGACCAAGGGTTCCAGTAATGGTGATGGGGTAGATGAGGCTGGAAGGAACAGCTGGATCTGATGCCTTTGCCTCACCTACCATCCAAAACAGCAGAGAATTAATCACCAGCCGCATTTCCCTCCCCCAAGCTATGTGAGGAGGCAGCTTATCGACAAGGACAGGTCTGGGTCTGCTGTCTTGAGGGGACCAGAACAAATGTTCTGTCTTGACTTCACCGTTGAGCCGTTGTTCCACCCCTCACTTCTACAAGGGACTAAACATCATCACCAGGGCCACATGCATCTTCTTTAACTGTTGACCCTCCACCTCGGGGGGCCACCAATTAGAGACAGTGACCCATGGGCATTTAAAATCTGAGCTCCTTCAGGTGGAAGTGTCCTTGACAGCAGCATCTCACCACAGCTTCTTTCACCAAAGTGGCCCTGGAAGCAGGGGAGGGCAGTTCTGCACGCTTTGCATTTTTCTGTGCATGCCTTGGGTCCTAATAAATATAGTAAATTCCTAAGTAGGGCCCCCAAAATTCAGTCTAACAATGTGTGAGCTTGTGTTATAATGGAGTAGATGGAATGGCCAGGTAAGTTTGGTGCAGAGGGCAGGAATCCATCACCTCTCACTTTGTATCCATCCGACCTCATGTGATTGTGGGTGTGTTATCATGGGGCTTCATTATGTATCAAATAAAGACATCATTTCCGCCAAGTGTGAAGAGAGCAAACTTCATCTGCATTTTGCAGACCCAGTTAGTGTGGTAATGAGAGATTTGAATGCAGATAGGTCACGGTTTGAGACAGGGAGGAGGTCCGGGGAAAAGCTCTGTCTGCTCAGTTGCTCTGACCCCAGTACGACACCCCCATTCCCGACATCCAAGCAAGGCGTCTGTGTGTGGGATGGGGCTGACTCTGGTGCCCATCTGCAGAGCCCTGGGGTCAGGCGGTGGGGGTGCCGAGCCCCCAGGCTGGGCAGGGAGCTACTCAGAACAGCGCCTGGATGCTCCCTCCCCCGAGGGCCTGCTAGCGAGCCAGGCAGGGCTTCTGGATCTCATTAGGCCACAGCTGCCCCACAGCCTGGACACCGTGAACAGAGCGTGGGCCTGGTTTCCATCACTTAAGTGTTGATTCGGCCTGTAATCATCATCAGAGGGCACATTCCAGGTTTGCGGTTTAAGAGAAAAGTGTACTTTTGTCTGTAATCGAGGAGCCATTCCGTTGTGAGCGTTTAATGCTTCTCCGAGGCTCAGCACCGCTCCTCCTCCTGTCTGAATGGGACCGCACAGCTTTGATTTTAGACGCAGGCCGGTGGGATGCTTGGAAGGGCACATGGGCCCCAATCTGGATCTGCCTAAGAGCTTAACCATGCAAACGTGGCCAGATGCATGGCGCTGTGATACTGTGCTGGCGAGCCCCCAGGGAGGCTCCGGGCTCTGCGTCTTTATTGGAAACACCCAATAAACCACTGGCCTCGAGGCTCTGCTGTTTTAGTGCAGGGCTGAAATGCAGTCTCCTCCAGGCTGCCAAGGTCCCTTGACCGCAGTGCTGCTTGCAGTCCCACACAGGTGTGGCTTCCTGAACCCCCAGCCTGCTCAAGAGAGCCAGTTGGGACCAGAGAAGGCTCCGTTTGCTCTTCGCATGCAGGGGCAAGTCTCAATGTGTTAACTCACTCTCCTCTGTGCACCAGGATGACACTGGGGCCCCTGTCATCAGGGATGGAGGAGGTGGGTGAGCTGTGCCAACCAGGCCCCCACCCACCCAGGGGAGACTTTCAAAGCCAGCTGGCTAAGGACAGGGTATAGCCTGAGGCAGAAGGACAGAGTTTGTCTCTGACTGAGTGAGACTACCTTCATCATTTCTCTAGGTTGCAGCCAGCCCCGGCGGTAACAGCCAGCTGTCCAATAATTAAGGGCTGACAGAATTTCTATTGGCCGGATCACCAGAAAATTAAGGCTTCTGTGTTAAATAGCTTCACAGAAGAGAAAATACGTATTTTAGCCCCAGGGAGTTTCTGTTGTTGCTGAGGCCCCGAGGAGGCTGGCCCGCTGGCCGTGGGCTGGGCTGACTCATGGGCTGAGGCGGCCTTGGAGGCTGAGCTCAGCAGAACACAGACAGTGGACACGTGCACAGCGGGCCAGCGCTGGCTGCAGGGCTGGCAATAAACAAGTTAGGGCTGGCTCCTGGCGCTCAGGAATCTGGGGTCAATTAGGGATCAATGGTGCCAGAGGATTTAAAACAATTGCAACCAGCAGGACAGGCTCTGGTTGTATCAACAGTGGAATGCAGAATGCACAGACACAATTGTACTATTCCTAAATTAAATCAACATTCTATCCTTGGCAAGGCCTTTTTCTCAACAAGTGGAATTGTCCTTGGCCAAGATTTAACCAGTCATTGGGGCAATGACCAACGACCCGATTGGTCACTTTCCCTTTGCTGTGGACGTCAAATTCACAGTCGTTAGGGGAGGTGTCCGCAAACTTCTGATGAACAATTGCATCTAACCTAATTGGATTTCACCCACACCTTACGTTTTTAAGCTTCAGGTTTCAGTGATTCTTTGACTGATGAGAATGTTAGGTCTTTATATGCCTCTCTCTTTGTTTCTCATTATTGTGCCTGCCTGACACAATGCTCCCTCCAGAGGAAGCCTGAGTTCTTAACTGCAGGCATCAGTGGCTTCAGAAGACCCAGTGCAGAGGGGATGTGGGGTGTGAGCTGGGACTGACTCAAGGAGGCGGAGGGAGAAGTGGGGTCTCT